CTTCCTACCCTTTTCCTCCTCCTCCTCCTCCTCATCCTTCTTACAGTGTATAATACATTTATTATTATTTGTTAGGTTTTAGACTCAAGCCTCTATAGGGTCTTATGATATTTTAAAGTTATACATTGAGCGCATTCTTTTTTAAAAAAAATTAAAATCTTCAATTATGTATGTATTTATTTGGTACAGGGTCTTGCAAACACAGCTCAGACTTGTAGTGATCCTCCTGTCGCAACCTCCCTAGCACTGGGATTACAGCCACCACCCCCGGTTTCAGTGGCTGGCATGGCATGTGGTAAGGGGGATTGAACGGGTCCCTGCGCTTACCAGACAGGCACTTAGTCTGCCGAACTATCTCCCCAGCCTGAGCACATGCTTCATAGTACAGACTTGTTTTGTTCTAGAACAATACACACAGTATACCTGGAAATTATAGCTTATTGAGTAACTGAATTATGAGATAATGGTAAACATTATTTAAAGAGTTTCCTGCTTTGGGCTGAGATGTGATTTAGATCAGAATATTTTCTTTCTTACATGATTAAGAGTTCTAAAAGAATGCTGGTTATCTGAAGAAAAAAAATTAAAAAACTATTTGCATTTCTACAAAAAAATGTCAATAAACAAAATAATCATCATAGTTCCCTGAACCCATGTGGAATGCCTCACTGCATAGAAAGACTCCAAACTCACACTCGCTATGAATGCCTTCCAACCCGCTTTACTGTCTGCCTGCGTGGCCACTTGTGCATCTTGACTGAATGCTTCATCAAGATCCCGGAGGACAATGAAGGATTAGAGGTGTCGGCGCCTCACAGCATTAGGTCCCAGTCAGGACTTCTTAGACCCTCCTATGCCACAGCGTTCTGGGACAGTCTGGGGATGCCCGCAGATCCCTTCTATGAGAAGTGTCTTAGATGTGTAACATAAAATGCATGATATTTCACAGGAAACTGATTACACTGAAATGCAGTTATCAAAAAATTAAAAACACGTTTGCGACCTAGTAATTTATGTGTATGATAAATTAACAGTGTATTCAGTGACAAGATCGCATGGAAGGTCCAACAACTGTTAGGGTTCCACAGTGGTGGACCCGAGTGATACATGCAGGTGTCTGCAGCCAGAGAGTAGTGACGGGGCAACAGCACAAGGGTGGCCTGTGGCCTTCCTAACTTCTGGGAAAAGAGGGGTAGATTTTGGTTAGTGAAATACAGAGTCAGTGTTTTCTCCATCCAAGTTCATGAATATTGAGGGCTGTGTGTAGGCCCCAGGATCCTAACTGAAGGGAAGCCAGGCGACTGCAACCTGGAGAGGGTGCGAGAGGGACTCGGACCAGCCTGCTTCCTCAGAACCCTATTAAGTACAAGACTGTCACAGCCTCCTAGCAGCCTCACAGAACAGCTGGCATGTTTTCTGCAGATGTCCCCAAGAAAAGCCTGGTTCTTGGCCTGGACCGTCACAAGTCTAAGGTTCGCAGGTTCAGTCCCCTCTCTGGGACACCCTCATCCCTGTGAGGCCCTCACGAGGTACATGACAAGGTGTGGTTTCCTTCTCTCACTCAGTGGGTCAGGCCCGGTGTTTGTCCCTAGCTATAGAGAGAGAAGCAAGGCCCCCACTGGAGCTAAACTGTTTCCTTCAACGATCATTGTCAGAGCCTTTGCTCAGCGCAGAGCAGGCCCTGTGGGCACCGAGATGCAATTTCACGTTTGTGTTGTGGAGTGTGTGCATAGCACCGTGCTCCGTGTTGGGTTCGGTATCTTCCCTCTGAGGGATAGGAGATGAGCAAAACACCGTGGAACATCAATATGTCGCTGTGGCTGCACAGAGATGAGCAGTGAGGCCAGCCAAGGAGACTGCAGGGGGAAAGCGACCTTGGATAGAAGACCTTGAGGTCTTCTAGCAAAGAAGACCAGGCCCACAAGAGGCGAGGGGACTCCAGGAGGACCACCAGAACTGGTCCTGTTGCAGGAGGCAGGAGGCTCTGTGTCCAGAGGCTGAGGCAGCAGGAAGGCGAGGGCATGTGCCCCCAGCCCTCAGGACCGGCAAAGTTGGACAGTATCTTACAGGCCAATGGAAGCCGTCCAAGGGTCTCACAGTACCTGTTGGAATGAATGAAACCATCTTTAGGAGGCACTGGGCCCAGCATGGAAGAGATGACCAAAGATTCTGTAACACTGGGTGAAGGTGCTTTCCCTTCTCGGCTCCCGTCTCCAGCCCTCTATTCAGGCTGGGCTCTGTGCTCCCATGGCCTCCCACCATCTTTCTGTCCAGTCCAACCATCCAGCTAACTTTCTCCTTAGCATCTCTCCTCCAACAATGCCTGAATAGCGGTTGTCTTGCGCTTCCCTACATCGTGGCCCTGGGCATGCACGTGGGCTGCTCCAGATGACGGTTACACAACAGGGTCCACTTTCCCTTTCTCCAAATCACCACTGGAGTGGGTGGAAGCTAGAGCTAGCCGAAGGGGAAGTTAGGAAATCAGCTGCAGACGGCCCCTGCCCTCCTTCCTCTAGTCTGGGATTGGAGTAGACACTGACACCTGCTGGCAACTAGTGGAATGGCATACAAGGCGGATGCGGAGGAATGGGACTCCTGAAAACAGCCCAGGTCCACCCCGGTTGTTCTGCGTGGGGCCTGGGATATAGCTCAGCGGTGCAGCACCTACCTGGAAAGAGCAAGGTCCTGATAACAACAAACAAACAAACAAACACACACACACACACACACACACACACACACACACACACACACACACAAAACCAAAACAGGAGCTCTAGCTAGAAGAAGGTTATGATGTTTTCAAGAGGCAGAGCTGAACTGGGTAGAGGAGAGAGGAAATAAGCATTTATGGAGCAACCGCTCCTAGGTGAGGAGCCAGGGCCCAGCCCCCAGGGACTGCTGAGCCTGGAGTCCAGACCTTGGACCTAAACCAGACTAGCAAGGGGGCTCAGCTTGCTGCCGCAGGATTCAGGGCTCCACACAACAGGGGAGATGACCACTTCACCCATGGGGGTACACCCAGACAGGAAGAACTGTTTCAAAGCCACGTGTCTGTCCAGTAGGCTGCTTTCCTGGAACAAGTTGTTTTGCATTAAGGTTTGGGACTTTGACCAGGGAACTGTGTATTCCTTGCATTGGTCACCTGATGTTTCTCCTGCTCACCTGCGGGCCCTGCTGTCCCCAAAGCCTACCCAGGGAGTCTTCACCTTTCCTCAGAGGCTTAAGGGAAGTGGAGGATGTTTGGGTGAGGAGAACAGAACCTAAGAATAAAGTGCTGATGGCAGAGCTGGGCTATGCCCGAGGGTATTAGCCAGTAAGGTGGGGGACACAGCAGTGCCTTGCCTTATCTCCTGTTTGTCCTCTCTTGCCTCCTGGAAAGCCCCACTTTTCTGGGGTTGTGTCCTCCTGCTCCATCCTGCCTCCTCTTCCTTTACAACACTGTGTGTGGGGCTGCATCCTGGCGCTCAGTCTGTGCTTGCCTTTGGACACACCTAGACACACATATGCAGACACACACAGGTCCTGGAGGCATAACGTGTGCTCCCATCCTGAGGGACCATCACTGTACCACAGGTGTCTCTTGCATCTAACTGTATGCCAGACCCATGCCCAGGGAATTTGCCGTCTCCTGTACAGCTCCCTCTAGGGTCCATGCACAGCACACACAATCCACTTAAGCTTGTAGCCTGCCTCCCCAAACCTGCTCTGGCTCCTGCGAGGCAACACTTCCCACACACTCAGCTACCAGAGGCAGAAATGTAAGGTGGCAGTCACTTCCCTGCACTGCCCAGCTAGTTCCTCTGTGAGACCGCACCCTGGCTTTGCTACCTCCTAAGCTATGCCCTCTTATGTGATGCCCCTTGCAGTTTCCCAAATGCAGATCTGACCATGACCCCTCTGCCTGAAACCCTAGGATGGGGTTCATGGATGTTTGCTAAATTCAGCACCATTCCTCACATTCCAGCCATTGATTCTCTG